TGTTTCCATTTTAAGTACTTTTTCCATTCTTTGTTGTTTTAAACCTGATTTTAAACTTCGATTGCGCAATATCCATTCATTTACATGTTCCATAATTCGTCGTTTAGTTTTTCAATTTCTTTATTGAGTTTTCCTACATTTTCTTTTGATTCCAGAAGTTCTTATTTTATTATTAACTTAAGTTCGTATTTTTTTGATAATTCAACCATAATCTCGAGAGCTTCGTTTTTGAGTCTTTTTTAATTGATTACTCAATTTGTGTAACTCGTTTTTACAAGTGGGTTCATCGTCTCCTAATTGCTGAATAATTTGATGTTAAGATCGCATAAACGAAGTCTTGAGAATTATTTTGTTTGTGTTCAATTCAAATAGTTCATTTTGAAAGGTTAACTGATTTTCCATTAGGTTATTCAATTTTTGATTTTTTCTTTTTACCATTCTTCCGTAGTGAAAAAACTACACTCTGCTACCAATTATTACCCGATGACGATCACAAATAATACCGAATATGTACTATAACTTATATTTTTAAGATCTTAACCGTTTTTACATTAACTATATCACTTATATTTTTTTATATTTTTGTATCTGAAAAACAACAACAACAAAACTCTATTTATAAAAAAACTTCGTTCCCTAACAAAAAACATTTAGTAAACACTATTGTTCAAATAATCACCATATAGTTGTTATTTAGTTCGTTAAAGCCATATTAGCGTTATTTATTGCTTACATCTATCGTGGTGTTGGAATGTTGTTTTTCTTTTATGCTAATGCAATTTTCTTCCAATCAATGAATAAATATCACAGAGATCAAAAGGCTCAGATAATCATTATCAGCAATTATAAAGAAATATTATTTGATATTACCAATGAAAAAAGGTGTATGGCTGAGTACTGAAGAAAAAAAGTTTTACAAAGTGCAATTTGATAGTAATAGAAAAGTAGGATATGTTACTTCAAAAAGTTCTCTAACTTATTCATAATTTTCATAATTTTCATAATTTCATAATTATTCATAAAAATGTATCAAAAGTAAAGTAGCTGTAATCAGCAAAACCATGCATCAAAACCACTGACTCACAAGACTGACGATGATTTTGCCCTATCTACTAACAATTTCAGTAGACCTAAAAGAAAAAGAAAAGCTTCAACTGCTTCAGCTCTTTCTTTAGTAAAGAATGTAAAGCTAACTACACATTAGAGCAAAAAACTATGTCATCAATTGTGAGAAGAAGATAATAATATTGCAACTCCAACGCAGGCACGTATTTACAAAGCAGTAATGAAAAGAGCAGATAGAATCAAAGAATAATTAAAGAAAACTAGGCAAGAAGTGGCCGCTACATTTTGGATGCAAGAAAATTAAGCAGAAAGAAATGCAAGTTGTAGTTTTTAAAAAACAATGATCAGTAAATAAAGTTGGCTGCATCCCTTTTAAAGGATGGCAAAGCCAAAATAATTATTTCAGCATTGATAAATTTATTAAATAAATTTGATATATGGGAGGTAATAAAAGTGATTATTTGTGACACAACAAACACAAATACTGGAGCAAAAGGTGGTGTTGTGGTATATTTTAAAAAAGAATTTATAGCCTGGAATTTGGAAGTTCTACAATTTATTGGTTGCCAGCATCATGTGTTAGATTTGTTATTAAAGCATTTCATGGATGAAATTTTTGGAGGCAAAACATTGTCACCGAATATTAATTTTTTTTTTTTTTTTTGTTGGTGAACTTATGTAAAATTGTCTTGGTTAAAAATTTCAAACATTCAAATTCAATCATCAGCATACCACAGTGGAATGACGAGATGACATGAAGTTTTTGTGTGAGCTAGGGCATCATTACAGATATAATGTGGAAAAAAAAGATTTTTCCAAAACTAATTTAAGGTTCTTCTAAATATTAGTAATGCTAGATGGAATTCAAGAGGAAATTTAGCATCAGTGGCATTTATTTTATTGTCAAAACATCGGCAGCAACTGCAGCCAGCATATAATTTTAATATAATCTGTGAAAGAATGAATATCTGGTTTTCCAATCACTATTATAATAGAGCAAACTATAAAGCTTAATCACCTGCAGTTAACCAGTATGTAAAAGCAAAAAATTCTTGTTTTAGACACTGGTGGATATACTGGTACTAATATTTTAAGCATCTAGAATTTAATAGAAATATATGACTTTATATTGAAAAGGCCTAAAATCATTAAATGTATTTTTTTTGCTTTGAAGTTTTTTAATTTTTATTTTGTTTTAATTAAGATATTTTAAATTTTTTGTCTAAAACTCATTGTGTGACACCATGTCCATACAAGATATAAAAAAAGTTATCATATAAATATAAATAAAAAAGTTATCATATAGATAAATTATATATATATATATATATATATATATATATATATATATATATATATATATATATATATATATATATATATATATATATATATATATATATATATATATTTATATACATATAATGATCGTTATTAAAAAAAAATCAAAGAACGTAGGGACTCGTAGAAGACTATAAGGTCTTTTTGTTGAGTACTGTTAAGAAATGTTGGTGTTAAAATTTATAAGATATTTACAAGTTAAAAAATAAGTTAACAAAGTAAGAAACTTAAAATATTCCGTTATAAATAAAAAATGCGTTACATCTATTATAAATCTAGATTACAGTTTTTAATGATACTTATCTAATTTTTATAAACTCATGTTTAAATAGAGGGTGAAAAGGAAGATAACTTAAAAATATCAGAAGTATATTGTTAAATCTTCAATTGTAAAAGTTCCTTAACCTTTTGTTTAAAAGAAAAGTAATTACTTTGATGAATAAAATCTTCAGTAAAATTTTTAAAACTATTTTGTTCGATAAGAATGGTCCGCAATAATCAATACAAAATTTTAAAAGATTTGCTTGAAAAACAGACTGCTTAATAAAATTATCATCGCGTAAAATGTATTTATTTTTATCTTTTGATGAATATAAATTATGGAAAGAAATCAGGGATGAATTAATTTAACATTTGAACCTAAAACAAACAATATTTAATATATTAAGCTCGCATATATTAAAAACTTTCATTTCAAATAATACCGGTTTGGCATGAGTATAACGGTCTTTAAAAAATGTAAGATCTACATGCTTCTGCTGACAATAAAAAGGTTTAAATTTATTTTTATTTGTAATACCCCAAGCAATATTTGCATAGTTTATGTGACAATTAATAAATGAGTGATGTAATTGTCCCAAACTACTTTTATTTAAAATAATATTCCTTGCTTTGTACAATATTCCTATACTTTTTCGCTTAATGAGTTTGATTAAAAAGGCAGCCTATAAACTTTTTGTTTTAAATAGATTTTGATGTTAATATATATTTATATTTACAATATTTCAATTTTTGTAGTTTTGTATTGACTGATTTTTGTAGATTTGTAAAAATTTTTGTAACGTTTTTTATTCCACCTGATGATGCTGACCGCTATAAGTCAGCAAAATATTGTAAATATAAATATATATTAACATCAAAATATATTTAAAACAAAATGTTCATACGCTGCCTTTTTAATCAACCTCATAAAACAGAAATATTTGTTTAACAAGAAAATGATTTTCAACAAAGATTCTATACCTTTTCAAATTTAACTTGGTAAGTTTTTAATGTCATTTTTCCATGTAAGATTTTCATCAATATAAAAACACCTAGAAAGTTGGTTTCTGTTACTTTTTAATTTGTATATTGTCAATAACAAATTGAGGGATGATAATTGCCAGTTTATGTTTTTGGTAAAGGAATGGAAAAGAATCCATTTAGTTTTATCAATGTTGAGAGATAATTTGTTCGTCTTAAACCAGTCAGATATTTTGCTTAGCTCGATGTTCACGTAATGAAATAGAGTAGGAATGCTTTTGTGTGACATAAATAAATTAGTGTTATCAGCAAACATAATTGTTATTAGATTCGAGGCTTTGTATAAATCATTAATATAAATAAGGAAAAGAAGAGGTCCTAATATGGATCCTGGAAGAACTCAAACTTACTTTGTAGACCATTATAATGGTCCACTAAGTAACCGATAAGCAAAATTACAGTGGACCATTCAAAATGCCTATATAGATCCACTAAAATTCTGCAAATGAATGTTTGCTGGGGAAGTTATATTCAAGCGCTGAGTTGGCGGTGGTAGGATGTGAATTCCTATTGCACAACAGTCCGGGTTTTAACTTTTCGTTTGACACGCTAGCCAACCGATCTAATCCAGCCACGCTGCTACTGCCACAACTGAGCTATCCAGCCTATATAGGTCCACTAAAATTCCGCAATAGAATGTCTGCTGGGATAGTTGCGATATTTTTATAAAAGTATTAAACAGTACAAGTTGTAATAAGAAACATTGTTTAACAAGCACACTTATTCAATGTAAAGGAACTTTTATAAAAAGTCAGACGAAATATTGTCTAAGACAAACTGAACGCGCGTTATTGAGAATACCGTGATGAAATACTATTTGCAATCTTTAAACAAAAATAAAATTCTTATAAGCGTTACTAGTTTTCGTAAAAGAGACTTGATGTGATTTATTTTTATGGCAGTATATTATGGCTTTTAAAGATAAACTAGTTTGTAATACAACAATACAGCATTAAAAACTCTACGTAAAATTCTATTTTAACTTGCGGGGTAAAAGTTTTGAAATTAATCATTGAATTAAAATATTTTGACCAGGAGTGGATGTTTTAAAACTTTTTTTAGTTTTTTTGTTTTAAAATTTTTAAAACGGCGAAAAATACTACCGGCGGAATTTTTACTCTAGGAATTTTTAGAAGTCGTAAAATGTTTTTCAATTCAATGCTATAAAACATTTCCGAATTAAATTTTGTAGATAACTATCTCTGAATTTATTCTTAGAAATCTATTGTGCGGAATAATAACATTCTTAAGACATAAAAGGTTGTCAAAAACAAAGTTTTTTTGAGTTGAAGTTTTAAAAAAGTTCTTAAGTTAACAAACTAAAGGTTTTAAATTCAGTTTTCTTATGGACTTCGACTGTTTCAATTCTGATGAAAAATAGTTTGTTGCTTCAGAATATTTGGCAAATCAGAGACAACAACGAGAGGTAAAACTGTTCAAACAGTATTTAAACTGTTAAGAATATAATTTAAAAGTGAAAAAAACAAATTGTCATTAATTTTTTACCCTACCCTATAACAAAATTTGTATAGTTTTTCTATAATAATAATCAATACTATTTTTCTATAAGCTTTTGAAACAAATAGTCTATCTTCTCAGTCGGAAAGTCACGTGGTTATGCAAATAACAATTGTTACCATTTTGGATGGGGGAAAACAAATGATTAGTTGAGTTAATAAAGCAGGACCCTGCTTTATTAACTCAACTAATCATTTGTTTTCCCCCATCCAAGATGGTAACAACTTGCGCTATTGTTATTTTGCATAACCACGTGACTTTCCAATTGCGAGGATAGGCTATTTGTAGGACAGACTTTTGTGTAGGATATGTAGGATAGGCTCATGTATGTAGGATAGGCTTATGATATAGGATATGTATGATAAGATTGTGTAGGATATGTAGGATAGGCTTTTTTTAAACTCTTTAAATCACTATTTTGTACTAATTGTCCAAGGACAATTAGAACGAAAAAGTGATTTAAAGAGTTTAAAAAAAGAAATATCGGTTTACGAATACTTTGAAAAATTAGATTTTAACGCCGCAGAACGGTATATAAATAAATTTGAAATCCTTGGAATCAACCGATGTCTACACAAGTTCCTTGCAAATACTTGGAAAGATGATCAAACTGAATGGCCATGAGTTCAATACCATGACGTTTATAATTATTTATTAAAAAGTCCTATAATATTTTCTTTTGAGGCTATAGGTAATTATGAAGCATTAGATGCTTATAAATATTTTGGGTTTGGCTAGATGCAGGAATATATATATATATATATATATATATATATATATATATATATATATATATATATATATATATATATATATATATATATATATATATATATATATATATATATACACTAGAAAAAACAAACTAGTAATAAAATTTTATATTTTTTAGAAAATTCTTTTTATTTGAAGTATATAGAATATATTTTTATGGGATATATTCTTATAAGAACATATTTTAAATATATAGAATATATTTTATGGGATATATTCTTATAAGAATATATTTTAAATATATAGAATATATTTTATGGGATATATTCTTATAAAGACTAAATATAGTAATTACTATGTCAATCCTTTAAAACTATTTATTAATTACTATTGTAATAAATACAAACTCTTATCCGTGAAATAATATATCTTTACCAGTTTTAAATCTTTTTGTGCAATTATATACACCCTAATGAAGGTTAATTAAAAAATATTAGATAAATGCAATAGCAATCAGAAATTCATCATGCAAATTCTTATAACATAAAATCATTTAGACAGAAAAAAAAATTTAAACATCAAACTCTTTTGATGCTTTCTGCTTAGAAAATGCTTTATTAATTCTGTTTAGAGTTTGACTACTTTTTTAATAATATTGAATCTCAAATATTCTCTGCATAAAATTTAAATGGAGGAATTTCTTTTGCCTGTCCATTTTGAGTTTATCTAAAGTTCATCTGGAATTGATCTGATTTTGGGATCAATAAACAGTCCTGATAAATCAAGCATAAGTGGATTTTTCCATCCAATAGAATTTCCGATATCGTTTCTAATTAATGCAATAACAAACTTTAGAAATTTTTTAAAATTTTAAATTCATTAAGGTTTTCTTTCAGGGCCCTAGGTCTAAAAGAAAATATATAAAGTTAAAATAAAAAGTTATATATATATATATATATATATATATATATATATATATATATATATATATATATATATATATATATATATATATATATATATATATATATATGTATATCATTGTCTCATTGTTTTTCACAAAATTTTAAAATAATCAGTGATCAAAATAAATTAAATCAAATATATTCAGAATAAAGTTGTTACGTCAAGGTTATTTACAAATAGTAATAAGTACTAATATAAAGTAAACAATGAAGTAAATTTAATATAAATAAAACGATGATAATAATACAAGTAGGAGTTAATAAGAATAATAGTTGTAATAACAGAGAAAAAAAGTAATAATAAAATATGTCAAGAAATTAAAAAAGGGCCAATAAAAATAAATATAAACAGTATTAAAAAAACATATTAGCTAAAATAATTTGATTTCTTTATTAATTTTAACCCAATGATTAAAAAACTTACTATTTTTTATTAAATGTCAGAAAAAGCAAAAAATAAGAGAGTACTAAAGAATAAACAAACAATTTGTAACATAAACTCTGTTTTTTTTTAAATTTAGGCATCTCTTTAGTAATCTATCATAAATTCAATAGAGACTGATTCAATGTTTCTTTTTCACTATTGCATTGTACAGAAATAGACTTTCCTGGTTCAATTTTAAGTCTTTTTTTGGATATATTTTTATTCTTATTCTTGCTTTTTCCAATCCAGAAGTATACTTCTCAATGCTTTTTTTAATGGTGCAAAGAATGCAACATCAAGAAGATGTGTGCTTTTAAAAACTGTGTGTGGTGGAAGAATTTCTCCAACACCATTTCCACAAAACATTTTAGAGAAAGAAGCATTATTGCTATTCATTATTATCTCAGGGTACTTAGTTCCACGTTTCATAACAACTTTTTTTATTTCCAGAGTCATCACACAAATTTTTTTATCATAATTCCAAATATTACAAGGTGGAATTCCTTCAAGCTCAAGTCTAATATTGTCAAAATAAATTTTTAATTGTTCTTTGTTAACTGCTGCTTGTTTTCTTTTAATATTTGATGCAATTCTATGGGTTAACTGTGAACATTTCATAAGACTTAAGACCCAATCATCACCAGAAACACTGTTTTTAAATATTTTTACAGTACAATTTTCCAATTTTAAATAACCAGCAACTAACATTTTAACATCAAGTTTATTTAATGGAAATTCCCAATCACACATAACCTTGATTCTAGATGAAAGTAACTGCTTCTTGTCATAAGTAAATATGGTTGGTGCACCAATGCATTTTTTATGCTTTGACTTCATTTTATTATGTATAGTGTTTCTTAGAATACTAAACCTTTTTGAGGCTTGACTTCATACCTTCATTAATTGCACCCATATACTCTTTCAAAAGAACGGTACTAGAACAAGTATTGTATGCACGTTTTCCAACACTACTCTTGTTATATTTTGCAAGGCATTATGCTTCAAACAAAAGTAAATATAAACAACACAACCAACGGGGTCTTTGACCAGCCTGTAGTAAAAACAGTTACTTGAGCAAAAAACTTTTCGCTAAATTTTATCTGAACGTTTGTCTTTAAAACAGAAGAAAAACTGAGTTGTTTGCATCATTTTTATCTTCGCCCAGACAACATTTTGTTTTACAGTTTTTGATTGTGTTTTACCAAGATGTAGTTTTCATTCTTTTTCACATATAGTAATGAGCATTTGCAACAAACTTTAGATCAAAATTTAAGCAAGAAAGATTGCATTTACAAATAAGACAAAATTAATAAAGGGTTACTTAACTGTTTAAAAGTTACAGATATTTAATTAAAATTTAAACTGTTATAATTTTTTATTTTATTACCCTGGTTTTCAGTAATATAATAGAAAATTATAACAATAATAACAACAGTAAGAATAATAATATTTATAATGATAAAATAATTACAATAAAATTAATAGTATTATTATTATCATTATTAAACTTTTATCATTATAAATATTATTATTTTTACTGTTGTTAATAGTAGTATAACTTTTTTTAAACCATTGTTTTTTCTAATTATTTTAATCTTTCTTGAACTGCACTATTTTCTCTTAATCATCGTTATTAATAGTATTAAAGAGAAAATAGTTCAGTTTAAGGAAGATCAAAATAATAAGTTTAACAAAATAAACTTAAATTAATAAATTTAATAAAAAGTATTAAAATACAAAAAAAAAAAAAAAAAAAAAAAAAAAAAAAAAATTAGTTGAGTAGAAGCTCAGAGTTAGGTTTATAAATAATAAGTTAAAGAAAAGTATAAGATTTATAAGCAATATTTTTCTAAAAAATAGTTAAAGAGAGCAGTTTTAAATATTGAGAATGACTTACATTTCTTACATGACAAATTCAGTAGAAAAATATAACAAAATCGCTAAATAAAATTTATTAATATTTGTAAACTTCATTGTGTAAAAATTTTAAACTATTTTTATTATTGATTATTATATATCATTAAAAAAAGGCTAAAATCAGCATGACAATAGTGAAAATTTCATAACAAAATAACAATTCTACAAAAAGTTATGCTCATTTAAGTAACAAAATTTGATTACAAGGATTGCTTAAAAAAACTGCGACCATAGAATTAAAATTAAAAATGTCAGTTTCGGCTAACGGTAGTTTTGTAATGGAACTTTGTTGCTAAAAGCGCAATATTTTGCTTTATTTAGAATATTTTAACTTAGGTACATATTCTGCTACAAAAAATTCTGCTACATGATCTTTTTCGATAAAATTTGGCATGTACGTAGAAAATAAGTTTTTAAATTTTTCTCAATAGTTTCAAAAATGTTCTCAACATTCTTTCAAATTAATTGGACGTGTGATCAACAACGAAGTTTTTAAGAAAATTAAATAGAATAAAAACGGTTGAAACTTAAAAAAAAACTATCCAAAAATGAAGTTTAACTCGTCCACTTTTCAAAAAAAGTCTATGCTGATATAAAATTCTAAAAAATAACACAACAAAATACATTCTTACAACTCAAACGCTAAGCACGCTTTCATAAAATGGCCGAAGATACTGATCACATAATCGGTGCCGTAACTCATTGGATACGCACGTACCTAACTTCATTAAAACGAATGAATCTGTAATAAATTTTCAACTCAAGGTTATAAAGTCGATAAATATTCCGGAAGAATACCTATTTGTTGAAGATTCAAAGATATGAATATTTAGTTGAAGAAACCTGTGGTTCAGAGCTTTTCAAAGTACACACTACAAAAGTACAGACACTACAAAACGACTTTACAGTCGACTTTAGCTGTAGAAATTTATCGCCGGTAATTTTGAAAAATATTTAAAAAAAAATCATTTACCCAGCACTGCAGTGCTGGGTAATGATTTTTTTCAAATATTTTTCTGCCAATTCAAATCGATTTTTTTCAAATATGTTTCTGCCAATTTCTGCCAATTCAATTTTCAAGCAATTCTGTCCCGCAATAATGCGGGGCAGAATTGCTTCAAAACTTGACATTTAACGAATCTGGTCCATCCTACCATCTTTAGGGTAGGACTGACCTTTAACCCTATAGAACCCATAATCTAGCTCAATTCTTGTGTTTAAAAAATAACTCGCTCGCGTGATTTATTAGTACTAATTAGTACTACTTTGTTTTTATAGTGTTAAAGCTGAAGTTTGTTAAAAAAAAAAAAAATTTTTTAGAGATTCTTCAATTTTAGGTTTGCCGCTATCTTTTGCCAATGAAAAACTAATTTTAAAGTGTTTAAAATATACATTAATAGGTCTTTTAAAAAGTGCATTAAAAATATTTTATTTTTATTTAATTTTTTCAAACAATGCACTTTTTCTTCATGTTTTCCCATTGATACAGTTTCAAATTTTTTTAAATGAAATTGCAGATGATTACAAATTGTAAAACGTTAACATAACAAAATAAAAATAAAATACTCAAAAGGTGTTTTGTATTAGTAATTGAGAGTGACGTCATAGTTGTCTTTTAAAATAAAGTGTAGTTATAACACAAAAAAAAAAGTTGTGACAAACTGTAGTAGTAATTACAAAAAGCAAAATAAGGAAAAAGTTCACATATTCCGTCTAAAAAAGAAAAATATAATTGTTGGGTGGATGATATTTCACGTTAAAATATTTCTGACAGTCCAGATACAGTTTTATACAAAAGGTGCTTTCTATCTGGGTATCCATCAACATGGCCTACAATAATTAATTATAGTAGGCCACGCCATCAATATCCGTATTTGGCTATAAAAGACCTCATTGTTCTCCATCAGTTTTTAGATGCATTGAATCTAGTTTGATACAAATTTTTTCACCGCCATTGAGAGCAACGTTGATAGCATCTCGTCTGTCATAATTATCTGTCCAGAACATTATTCCTAATGAAATTGATATATTATTACATGATGTTAAGATTACATGACAAGTCATTACATTAGAAGTTAAAAAATTGAAGAAATTGATTTTGCTCTAGTTAATTTAATTTTTATTTTGCTGGTGAAAAATTGCTAATCAATTAGTCAACAGACTTTAAAAAAACTTTTTGGTTGGAAGTTTTATGCTTAGGATAATGGTTGAACTTAATTTTGAAAGATACTTCTGTGCTTAAAATTGAGTTTGTATCTGAAAACACAATTTTTATAATTATATAAAGGGAATAATTTTTTTAAAAACTTTACAAAAAACCGTAAAATGTCAAATTTTTACAAACATGAAATGATCAGTTACAAATCATTTGTAATTGTTTTAAAAATTATTAATTTGACCATTTGTCAAATGGAAAAAACAACAATCTTAAGTTTCTCAGAAGAAAAAACAATGTAAACTTGTCAACTTACAAAGGTGTCTGTTGCCCCAAAATTAACTGAAAAATAATGTCTTTTTGTCTTTTATAATGAAGTCTAAACTGTTCTTAAATCTTACAGTAACATATAAGAAGTAGGCAACATAATTACTTTTTTTTAAATAATTGTAGATTTTTCTGGAAAATTGTCAATGACAACAAAAACCCCACAGCCCCAAACAGGAGGGCAGTTAGGCATATTTGTAACTTTTTTTAAATTTTAAACTTTATTTATATTCATCAACTAGTTTCAAATTTGACCCAATAATCTTTTGTTGTTCGGCTTTTATGACCTTATAAAGTTTACACCCCCTCAAATTGTGGAGGCTGTAAACTTTATAAGGTCATAAAAGCCGATCAACAAGAGGTTATTGAATCAAATTTGAAATTTGACGATAAATATAAATTAAGTTTAAGATTAAAAAAAAATTACAAATTTGACTAATTGCCCTCCTGTTTGGGGCTGAGAGGGCTAAAGTTTTAGGAGTTTTGTTGTTCTTAGTCTCCAACCACGGCTATTTTTAGCACACTTTTCACACGGCAATTTTTAGTACAGTTTTCTTCATGTTCCAAAGTTGCTAGGCTCAAACATCAAAAAAAGTTGTCTACGACCTTGAACTGGTCAATCTGGATCTTTATATCGAATGTCAGAATACGTTCGTTTTGTTCCAATCACCGCATTTTTTTGCATAGCATCCTAATTCCTTATATCAATGAACATACTTAAATATGGAGTTTTCTTTATGTTTCATAGTTGCTTAGCTCAAACATCAAAAAAAGTTGTCCACGGCCTTGCCAGTTGTATCAACTTCAGAAGATGCTAGTTTTTTATTTTTACTTAGTCTTGCAATGTTTGTAGAGTTCTGGAAAATTGTCAATAAAAGAAGAACGTATTTTAATATTCTATTTAAAAACCCAAATAGAGAGGTTGTATCAACTTTAGGAGATGCTAGATTATCACTTTTACTTAGTCTTGCAATAATGGCAGAACAAATGACTAGCGAAGACAACAAAAATAGAAAACCGGAGACACAGGTGTAGTTTTAGCTTATAAGTGTCGTAGTTTAGTAGCTATTGCTAAACCTAAATATAAAGCCGTAGTGTCCATGGTGTTGTGGTCAGAGTTCAGCCTTCAGAATTGGAGGTCTGTGCCTCAAAGCCGGCTCTGGCCATATTGACATAATTGGTCAGAAAGGAGACATAAACTTAAATGCTATTCCGCGGTTGTCAGTGATAAGACAAGTGCATGTATTAATTATAATACATACAACTGAGCCAATGACTATGTTTAAAGAAATGATAATCAATAAGTTAAGCCAATCTTTCATGATAAAAGCCACCCAAAATCAAGCTAAACCTGTCCTCATGAAGCGTTGTTACGTTGAATGAGATGAACATGTATATTCCGCGGTTGTCAGTGATAAGACAAGTGCATGTATTAATTATAATACATACAACTGAGCCAATGACTATGTTTAAAGAAATGATAATCAATAAGTTAAGCCAATCTTTCATGATAAAAGCCACCCAAAATCAAGCTAAACCTGTCCTCATGAAGCGTTGTTACGTTGAATGAGATGAACATGTATATTCCGCGGTTGTCAGTGATAAGACAAGTGCATGTATTAATTATAATACATACAACTGAGCCAATGACTATGTTTAAAGAAATGATAATCAATAAGTTAAGCCAATCTTTCATGATAAAAGCCACCCAAAATCAAGCTAAACCTGTCCTCATGAAGCGTTGTTACGTTGAATGAGATGAACATGTATGCAATTGGAAAAAGTTTTCTTTACCCGTAGTTGAGTATAACTTCAACTTATATCTGTACAGTAAGAGAAAATAGTTTGTTTCATCTATTTTTTTAGATACCTTCATCTCAAAGTACATTCTTAAAACCTTCTTCTGTAAACAAAAAGTAATCTTATCTTTAAAAATGGTTCTCGATATGGGCTTTTTAGTAATGTTGGCATTGTAGGTATTACTTCCTTTTCTGAGGTAATCGGTTTGTTCATCTTAGTATTTCTTTATTGATGTCAGATAAAGTTTTACAGCCATTAGTATTTTTGTTATATGTAAAGCTTTCCGAGTTTTTTGAGAGGGAGTGAATGGGTAATTAGGCAGTAACCATTGTAGCCTTTTGATTCGGTCCCAAAACTTGTTACTTCTTTTTTGTTTTTAGAAATTTAAGTACCTTGTTAAGTATTAGTAAAACAGAATCAGCTGGTCTCGCTTTGAGTACCTAGTAATAAAGATGCGTGAGGGCATGTGTGTTTTACATGATTTAATATACTTCTTAATCTCTTTATTGCTAAAACGATCAATAGGACGTTTTACTATTTTATTATTTGATTAAAAAAATTCTTTTTTTGAATTTTACTTTCATAAATAATCACCAGATTGACAACAGTGGTGATATATTTAAAAGCTAGTGTAATTTACAGTTTGTATTAACATACAAAGAAAATATGAAAGAGGGGCCTTTCATAGAAGATTAAAGATAGTAAGCATGTTCATTTAAACATCAAAAAATGTCAGCTTTATTTTTCATCAAGTCAAAAAAATATGCAATCAAGTTGTAAATATGATAAAAATGGCACGTGAAAAGGAATGAAGATGATAACAAACAAGACGAAACAATAACAATGAAAATAAGGTAGTCTGCATCGACTTCTCAAGTGAAACTCGTAAAGTTTAAAATGTTGCAAATCACAAATCTACATTGCATAATGATGCATTGTAGATTTGTGATTTTTGTTATAATTTTACAATTTTTAATATTTTCAACAAACTAAGCTATGTCGTATTGTGAAACTTTTTATCTTAAATATTATAATCTGATACTCAAAAGAAGCGAAATTATATAAAAGCTTAAAAATAATATTTGTTTTATAAAAAAAAGAAAATAACTGTCCGAATACTTTTTTCCATAGTCATTTACCAAAAGAGACGTCTACCTAGTGTAGTAAATGTTTAATGGTACACTTAGATAGAGCTTGTCGAGAGCTACAAAAATATATATAACAACATGAGGTTTCGTTCATTTGATATTTTTTCCATAACTCTTTCTCGGTGGGAAATTGGCTATCGAATAGCTAACTATAATCGTAACGATAAAAACAACAGTTTGGCCACGAGGATCACTAACTTTTTTAAGTTAACAAAAGCTATCGATAAAGATTAAGATTAAGACGGCGATTTGGTCATGAGGACAACTAGCTTAACAAGCTTAAGACCCAGTGACTATTGTAGCTAGCGTCATGTCGTAATAAAATTGCTGTCTAAAAGATTTTCATATGTAGCTATCAACAAGCTATAGATTTGTAGCTAGCTACAAAACTACGATATGTAGTTTGCGACACATTGCTACATAATCGCAATGTTTAAAGTTCAATTATTCTCATAATTATAACAGACTCAACACTAAAAATAGAATTTTTAAAGATATTAAAGACATTAGGATAAAATCAAATAAAAAAAAAAATCGCTTGAAAATCACTATAAATGTAGCTAGTCGCTCGGTAGTCGTTCGCTAGTCGCTAACTCATTTCCTGCCGGGTAGGTCATAAAATATTTTATCATCAACTTTAATAGCTTAAGGTAAAAGAGCTTTCAATTTCTTACTGCCTGTAATTTCCTTTTATCTTTGGGTTTTTTTTAGTATATAAATCATAAATTGTCTTACTTTCTAATGTTCTCGCTTTCAAATACTTTATATAAAAATTTTTGTTTAACTTTAGAACATTTTCTGATATCTTTTGTAAACGGTGACGTAAAATCTTTACTTTCCTAAATGTTTAATGTTTAAAAAAATTAATGAAATAAATTTTAAAAAATATTTTCAAAAACAAATTATAGTACTAATTAGCGTCATTAGAATCTATGTGTTTCCAATGAAGTGAAGATAATTAATCCTTGAAGCAATTCGCTTCCGTAACGTTTAATAAAAGGTTTCTTTTTATGTTAAATTTTTTTGAGGCCTGTCTTTATGGAGAAAAAAAAGGAATAAGGGATAAGTTAAAAGCATCGGTAGTTATTTTATTGTCTATTATAGAATATATTATAGATTGTATTGTCTAGTATAGTTGTTATATTATATTTAATATAAAAGTTGATGTTGATGATATTCTGGTAGGATTATTTATTAACGGTATCGTTTCAATTAAAAAAATGTCATTATAAAGTGTTTTAACGTTATTATTAGTGTGGTATTCAAAACATTTAAAATTAAAATCACCTATTATGTAGTTTAGTTTCGTTTTATGGAAACTTTTTTAACTATATCATTATATTAAAATGCATTAAGGAACACCATTACTTGCCTCCACATTATTGACACATTATCCTTAAACTTTTCTCTTATATTTTGTTCTTCAGAAGCAATTTGGGCAAGGAAATGCACATAGGTCCACTATGTGCATTTCCTTGCCCAAATTGTTCAAATTAAAAACTTATCTTAATATGATCTTTAGCTCTGACATCGATACTACGGTTACGCTCTTTACAATCTTGAATTTTACTGTTCGAAGAGT